GTACGGTATTTGATCAAATGTTTCTGCTTCTTTTATTGGTATATGATAAATTTGGGAGTTGTTAAGCTGATTTGATTGTGGGTTTCTCTGTTCTTGCAGGTAAAATTTCGAAGATTTTGGTGTGTTTTGGGTGGATTGATTCTTCCGATCTGACCCCTTCTCATGATTAGTTTTCGATCTTCGAATAGGCCAACTGCGAAATTCTCATCTATAACTCCGTTTCCCTATTCGATTTCCTATCTCTTTCTACCTTCCAACGTCTTCTTCATTCGCTACTTCAATTGCTCTAGATTTCGCCTCAAAATCTGACCTTTGTGTGTCCTTCCTTGTTCGCTAGCTCAAAGTCTAAACCTTTGTTCCTCATTTCACTCTCCCAAAAGTCTCGTCTTTTACGTTCGTTTTCGATAATCTGAAACTCTGTTCTTAGAATTAGGAAAAGAAGAAAATGGCTGATAGAAACTGGTTGGTTTCGTTTGAGGATCTTCCTTCTCATTTGGTCTTGGAGGTGTTGACCTGTGGCCGGCTTAATGCGGTTGATCTACTTAGCCTTGAATTGACCTCAAAGGTTTTCGGAGGGAGCCATGGATTGTACCCTTTGAAATTCAGATCACTAGCTGATTGTGCCGCGTCTCAGCTTTGCTCTATGCATCCTGTCTATGTGGGAATGGGTTTGACTACACAGAAAGAGCTCTTTGCGAATTGCGAGGGAAACTGGAAGCGGCTTTTGAGGTTCTTGCAGTCAGTTGAGCAATCCTCAGATATGGTTGAAACCTCTGCAGGCAATGTATAATTTCATTTCTCTTTGCTTTTATCCGTGAATTCTCCGTTTACTAAGTAGTTTTAGGTAGTTTAGTGGAGTTGAGTAACTGCTATAAAGAATAAGAGTGTAGCTCCGAATGTTAGGCGGTTCTTGGTATAGGAAAAGATTCCATGGTTGATTTGGTTCAGGGTCACAAATGCATTTCTTTCGTTCTTTTGGCAGATGCAAATTACAACAGGAAGGTATCACACGTTGCTAATCAACAACTCAAAGGTTTACTCTTGTGGTGTGAGTTTGTCCGGGGTTCTTGCTCATGGCCCAGAAACTACTCAGTGCGTAGCATTCACGCCTATAGAGTTCCCTTTCCCTGCTCAAGTGGCTCAAGTCTCAGCTACACAGAACCATTCTGCTTTTGTGTTGCAATCTGGAGAGGTTGGTAGCTTCTGTTTCACTAAAAACCTATCTTATGAGTATATTTTTTGCTTGCCATATTCACTTATATGTTTGACGTCTGGGACAGGTTCTCACATGTGGGGATAATTCATCGCATTGTTGTGGTCACTTAGATATCAGTCGTCCAATATTTAGGCCTAAGCTTGTTGAGGCTTTGAAGGGAACTCCTTGCAAGCAGGTAAAGTTCATAGTTACCAACTCTATATAGACCAATTGGTTTTCTAAATTGATTAATTGAACATTCCTAATCTCATCTTCTATACCAGGTGGCTGCTGGACTGCACTTCACTGTGTTTCTATCGAGGGAAGGGCGTGTGTTTACATGTGGAGCAAACACACACGGGCAGCTTGGTCATGGCAATACCGTGGACAGACCAGTACCCAAAGCTGTTGAATTTCTTGAGAGCGTTGGCCCTGTGGTGCAAATCGCAGCTGGACCGAGCTATATTTTAGCTGTAACACAGGATGGCTCGGTTTACTCTTTTGGCTCCGGTCCTAACTTCTGTCTTGGTCATGGAGAGCAACAGGACGAGCACCAGCCGCGTGTTATTCAGGTTTTCAAAAGAAAAGGTATTCATATACTACGTGTCTCTGCTGGCGATGAACATGCTGTTGCACTTGATTCCAATGGTCGTGTAAGTTCTCTGTTTACATCGCTCTGTCTGCATTTGGTTAGAAAACAGAGACAATTTTGTTTAGTTGTTTTCTCTACACTTAGGTATACACATGGGGTAAAGGTTACTGCGGTGCTCTGGGCCATGGAGACGAAAACGACAAGACCACTCCTCAACTTTTGGTGAATCTAAAGAATTCCCTCGCTGTCCAGGTCAGATTTTTCCCCATCTGTTCCATCTCAATGTCTCAGAAAATGATCCCTTTTTACATATTCTTGAGTTGTTCCTATATTCTCTAAGTTCCTTGAGCAGTCTCCAAGAACTAATATTAGATCATAACTAGGAGTTCCCAATCCGGTTTTAGGGGGTTTTCAGGTGTATGTCATTCGGTTCAAGTAGAATCGGTTTTGGTCAGGGATCTGTTTTAGCAAAACGTATTTAAGTTTAGATTGGTTAAACCGGATTAGACAGCCCTAGTCATGGATCTACTTTGTCTTGCAGGTGTGTGCAAGAAAGAGGAAAACCTTTGTTTTGGTGGAAGGCGGATTACTGTATGGATTTGGGTGGATGGGATTTGGAAGCCTCGGGTTCCCGGACAGAGGAGTTTCCGACAAAGTCCTTAGGCCTAGAGTATTGGAGTGTCTGAAACCACACCGAGTCTCTCAAGTTAGCACAGGTCTGTATCACACCATTGTCGTCACTCAACGTGGCCGCATTTTCGGGTTTGGAGATAACGAAAGAGCTCAGCTTGGTCATGACTCACTCCGTGGCTGCTTAGAACCTACCGAAATCTTTCTCCATTGTGGCCGTTCTCGTAGCCGACTCTGTTGATCCATTCCAAGGTAAGTAAATAAGCCTGTTGGCTGTTTGTATGTACCAGATTGTGATCGGATTTAACCTGTTAGTGTATTTTTGTATGATTTGTATAACGAAAGAGCTCAGCTTGGTCACTGACTCTACTGAAAATCTCTCTCCATTTGTATTGTGTATGGTTAAACAATAATACATGAATTCTTGGTGGGAACAAACAAACTTAACCACCATTTAGCAAGTTCTTGTTCCTCTGTTTGCGTTTCTCAACTGTTTTTCGTATTCATCAAAGTCCATGTAGCAGAGAACATATCCTTGTGGACATAATCTCTGTCTGATTCCAAATTTACAATCTTTGAATGCCTAGAACGGTAGAACAGAACCGAAGAGAATAAGAATCAGTTAAACTCTGTTTTGTAAACTTAAGAACTTCAACCAAAATCATTCAAACGAGAGTAACAACAACGTATCGATTCCAAATGGTTAGCCAAATTATTCTCCATGACAAATTACACAACAGAAAACAACTCCAAGGAGCAGCAGAAGGAATCATTGTAACTAAAACAAAACCTAAGAAAAAACCTTAAACCGGAAACACATCACGACACGATGGACAAACTCCGGTTTCCTCGAGCCACTTCCAAGCCAAGTGTTGCTCGATCCCTGAGACACTCGCTTGTCCAGCCACCAAATACTTGGCATTCGATCCTTCAACACCGATCTCATCTTCAAGAAACATGTTCGCAACAACATCGATCTTCACTTTAATCTTCTTTAACTTCTCCAGAGGTGATTTCGTTATGCGTTCGATTTCTTCGGTGAATGTTTTCACGATACCTCGATATGCAGGAACACGAATCGCATAGAGAATCTCGCAGACTGTGCCTTTGATCTGTTCATCATCTTGACCGATAAACAAGTCTCGACCATATTCTTGACGTTGATGTGTGATTCTTGTTTCGACATTATCGGACATGTAGTCTTCTTCTCCATCACTTTCTGGCTCAGGGATTCTTGTGTAGACAACTTCAAAATCGAACAAGAAAGTTCGAAGATCGTGAGTTGATGATACTTCCGAGTCGTAGATTGCGTCCACCTTACAGTAACTATCAGATATATCATCCAAAATATACGCCATTTTCTCTCTGTGGAAGAAGAATGATATGTGAAATCTTTGAAAGAAAAACATAAGGTCAGATTATAGTACTCGTTGAAAGAAAAACTATAGCTCGTCTCCAACGATTCTTAATTAGCCAAACTTCTAACAACTTTCTATATATATGAAAAGCCCATTGGTTTTTGATTATATAGGTTTAAATAATTAAATTATTTGCCTATTTGGATTGATTTTTGATTTGGTGGGATCTTTAACAAATCTGAAAGATATATTTTCCTCATTCTACAATGGTCTAATAATAGTAACTAAAATTCTATTAGCTTTAATTCTTTATTTTTAAAATAATTAAATTATCTGAGTGATTGGAAAAGATTTTATACAAATTTTATTTTGTAGATAACAACGTATTGCAATTAACTAGTCATTCAACCGTTGGTGAAAGCAAACACAAGTAATGTTCAAAAACAGAGTAATGATACTAAAACAAAACAAAACAAAGTAGGAAAAAAATTGATTGATAGTTGAGGGGATTTTTTTATTGAAAACCCTTTTAACTAAAACTAAAATGAGAGTGACTAGATTAAGGATTAAACTACAACTAATACGATTATAAGTGTATCAAATATCCTTCCGGTTTGGTGTATTAATTAAAAGATGTGTTAAGTCAAAGACACTGATACAGTGAGAGTCTTAAGCCCAAGTTAACAAGAAGAATCGGGCCACAACAAACGAAAGCCCACTCAATTATTATAACGCGGAGAGTTAAATACATAATACGAGATTTGATTATGTAATTAATAGAAGAGAAATCCTACATTTAATAACAATATTCATACATATCCTCAAGATCTGATATATACCATACGTAAATTATTGTGATATACTGTATTAAAAATATCAACTGATTGTTACTAATAAAAAAATATAAATCTTACTACTAGCTAGTTTTCGTTGTCAAACAAAATCAAAGATACTACTTTCGAAAAAAAAATATCAACACTTTCCTAACGTGACATCACGATTAAAAGATCAAAACATAATTGCAAAGATATTTTAACAACATTGTTGATTGTTTCTTTAACCAGATTTGAAAAAAAAGATATTTACACAATATTTGACCCCCAAAAAGAAAAAAAAGATATTTACACAATAATTAAAATAAGAAACTCGGATAAGAACACGTCGGATATGTCAGAGAAGGTCTTATCTAAAAAAAAAAAAAAAATTCCTAGTCATCATCACGTGTAACCATTTTTGTATAAATAACTCTCTTACCAACAACACTTTCCTCTCAACACAAATCAAACATTTAACTCAAACTTTGATCCAAAAGAAAATCAAAAATGTTGGCAATATTTCAGAAAGCATTTGCTCATCCACCGGAAGAGCTCAACAGTCCTGCGTCTAATTTCACCGGAAAAACTCCTAAACTCCCCGGAGAAACCCTCTCCGACTTCCTCTTTCACCACCAAGACACAGCTTTCTCAATGAACTTCTCCGATTCCACCGTCTTAGCTTACGCTCGTCCCGACAACTCTCTTCGCCAGAGGTAATAACACAATTATAAACCCAAATCAAAACTCCTATAAAGATATGGTTTTTTAATTATCTCCGACAATTTTCTTCTTGTTGTTTAGGTTGTTCTGTGGAGTAGATGGGATTTACTGTATGTTCCTTGGAAGATTGAACAATCTCTGTACTTTGAATCGGCAATACGGACTTACAGGGAAGAATTCGAACGAGGCAATGTTTGTTAACGAAGCTTATCGAACACTTCGTGATCGTGGTCCTTACCCAGCTGATCAAGTTCTTAGAGGTCTTGATGGTAGCTTCGCTTTCGTCGTCTACGATTCTCAAACCTCCTCTGTTTTCTCTGCTCTGGTGAGATAAATCTCTCGACTTTGAACATGAAAACAATAGAAACTTGCTTTTGTTTGTGTTTCTGAATTTGATAAAGTTGTGATTTTTTTTTAGAGCTCTGATGGTGGAGAGAGTCTTTACTGGGGAATTTCTGGTGATGGATCTGTTGTAATGTCTGATGATCTTCAGATTATAAAGCAAGGATGTGCTAAATCTTTTGCTCCTTTCCCTACTGGTAACCAAATCAGAAACATTTCAACAAGTTTTGAGACAGAGAGTGAGGAATCTGAGGCTTTGATGGATGTGTATTTTTTGCAGGTTGTATGTTTCACAGTGAGACAGGGCTTAAGAGCTTTGAACATCCGACTAACAAGATGAAAGCGATGCCGAGGATTGATAGTGAAGGTGTGATATGTGGAGCAAATTTTAAAGTAGATGCTTGTTCTAAGATCAATTGCATTCCTAGAAGAGGAAGTGAAGCTAACTGGGCTCTGGCTAATTCGCGTTGATTTTCGTTTTGATTCAAAATCTTTTCTTCTTGCTGTGTTTTCTCCATACTCTGTTCTATAAATAGCCTTTGATGTTTTGATGATAATGAAAATTGCTTTGCTTTGCGTCTCTTATTTTTTACTAGTTTGCAAGAAGAAAAAAACTCAACTCAACTTTTGATTCAAAAGAAAACAGAGTATAACAACAATAAAGACAAAAATGTGATGTTTCTGAGGATTTGTTGGAAGTTTACTACAACAAAGACTTGATCTGACTTTATCATTCATCATCCTTCCACATGTCTGCAAACTCATCAGGCTCCAATGGGTTTGAAAGCTCATGCA